GACCAGCTTCGAATGGAGGGATCAGCCCAACACACAGCTATGAAGCCCAGTATGAGAGGTGACTGACATGACTTTTGATGATGTGACTGTCAAACTGAGGTTGACCAAAAAAACTAATGTTGACACAGCCACTTAATACATAGATATGTGGCACACTGTCTAGGAGGACAGACTTACGTAGTTAGCTCTCCTACTTCCTCTTGTGGCAGTTACTCATTAAACTAGCTCTAACTGGGCTGGGGATTTAGCTCAGTGGTTCTGTCGCCTGCCTCACAAGTGCAAGGACCAGAGTTTGATCCCTGGTATCAAAAAAAAAAACAAAAAAAAAACCTAGCTCTAACCTCTTGATAGTGTGTGTCCAGGAAGGGATGATAGAAGTGCTGCACATAGGTGAACAACTGATGAAGAAACTAGGGTTTACCTTTCAACTTGCAGCCTCATCTCTAAGTAGATCTTTGAAACTTGAGTTTTTTACCCATATGCAGCACCAGTACCCCCACAGGGTAAATGGTATTGTGCATATAAAGTGCATGGCACAGAATGCATTTGATAAACAGTTAAGAAATGTAGGGCTGAGGATTTAGCTCAGTGGTTTTGCCACCTGCTGCGCAAGCGCAAGGACCCGAGTTTGATCCCTGGTACCAAAAAAAAAAATGTAATTGCTACAGCCGGGTGTGGTGGCAGACGCCTGTGATCCCTGTGATCCCAGCACTTGGGGGGCTGAGACAGGAGGATCATTCCAAGTTCAAAGCCAGCTTGGACTACATAGTTAGTTCCAGGCCAACCTAAACTACATAGGGAGACCTGGTCTCAAAAGAAAAAAAAAAAGGAAGAAAAAAATGCAGTTGCTGCCACCACCATGATCCCGATAGTAATGACTATCTCTTTCCTTCCTGTTTTCCAACCAGGGCAATCCAGGAGAGCCTCCTTACCAGCACCAAAGGCCTGTGCCCGGGTGCCCTGAGTGAGACAAGCCATTTTGATAGTGACTTGCAGCTGGCCATCGAGCTCTCTGCCAAAGAGCTGGAGGAGCGGGAACTCCGGCTCCAGGAGGAGGAAGCTGAGCTCCAGCAAGTCTTACAGCTGTCACTCACTGAGAAATAGACATTTCTCCCCACAGGGTGCACAAAGCAGAGGCCCTGGGCTGCACATGAGTGCTACGTCAACTGAGGCCCTGCCGCTGAGGGCCTGCCCTTGGTGCAGATGGCAGCTGCCCCTTCTTTTGCAGAGGTGCAAGACCAGGGATTCCCAGGCCCATCCAGGATGCTCCCGGGAGTGGAAAAGGGGGGATTGGCAGGTCCCTTCTCCAGGCTCAGGGGAAGAGAGCATCATCACTTTCCATTAGCTATATAGGCTTGCAGGTCACATTTTTACTACCAGCTTTAGACAAAAACCCCAATCCCTGCAGGTTTGTAGATACATTTTTATCAAGGAGTGATAACAAAACAAATTACTGCAGTCGGGGTGCTTTTATATATGAGAGCAGCAACAGCAGCCTTTGTAGAATGGTTTATGAATTTAAGACCTTGTACTGTTCACCAAAGAAATGGGTTGTGCCGATCTACTCTTTATTTTTACCTTTATATAGATGTTTCTAGAACATTGTCATTATTCCTCCTCCACCTCCACCTTATTCCATTCTTTCCACCCCCAGCTAAAGTTAAAGAGGAGAATATATACAGGATCTATTTTAGATTGTGGTTAACTGTTTGCATCAAATTAAGATATACAAATGACCACAGATGTTGCCTTAGCCTTAAAAAATTACTAATAGTTTCAAACTCCACATATTGAGAGATTGATTTGAATTTGTGTAGGCAGTTCCTTTGAGAGCAGGATCCTCCAGGCTAAATCTAAGGCAGCTAATCCTGTCCCTGAAGGGAACCCACGGCTTGTTCTTGAAGTGGGCAAGCTGGCCATGATAGTGGAACAGCAGAGAACCAAACAAAGGGTGTGTTCAGCACCTGCTCCAGTGAAGGATTTCTACGAAGGAGCCTACGAAGAACTGGCTGCATGTTCTAGTTTCACACAGGAGAAAGGGGTGGATTTGAAATCAGAAAGGGAACTAACATGGAGCTCAATACATTGCTGTTCTTTCAAAAGGGAAAATAATTTCATGTTGCTTTTTAGAGTTCAAATCAACATCTTTCTGGATAAATATATTTTTTAACAGAATGTTTTTATTATTTTTAAAAGATATAAAAATGACTTCCCATCAGTAGCAATACAAGGTTATACATTTTAACCAGATTTTCTCAGGCCTTTTTTGGATACCTTTAGTAGTTAACTATTTTGTCTAACCCTCCTGTAAATATCTATCATACCATACAGATCCCTGGGAATATAGCAACTCATTCTCATTCCCATAGGCTGCACTGAAATAACCTGGTAAATGGTATCCTCCTCTGTTTCACATCTGTTTCCTGTCATGCTTCTTTTGGGAGAGGGAGAGAAACATAAACTACTATTCCAGTTGATGTCTGTATCATACAGTTAGTGTTGCCAGTAAAACATTCTTAGACACAAAGAACTGTCCTTTTAATTCAAGAAAGCCATCTGCCTTTTTTTGTCATGATTGACCAAAATTCCTCCTCTATACACAAGGCCAGTATAGGCAAAAATCATTTTTTGTATGCAGCTTGGCATTTTGTTTACTTGGCATTTACTGTGAGTGAAGTCACTTGGGAATGGCTGCAGGTAGGCCACAATGTTTACTCACTAAGGTGAATCACAGGTAATTTCTGTGTTTGCATTCCATTGCTCTGCTTCCTGAGGTCTTTGACTTTGTCCCAAGAAGTCACTTAAAAAGGGACTGAGCATCATGTCAACCCGTCACAGCATTTTTCATGTGTACTCTCAAAGTGCAAATAAAGACTGCTTCAGTAGAGGGTGCTCTATATACCATATCCTGGACAGTCTGAGTCTTGTCTCTTTGCACATTGTTTTCTAGTTCCAGGTGCCAGTACATCGCTCAGTTGTACAAGTATACAGTTACAAGATGGCACATTCGTGTCAGCCTACCTGCCCAAGTTACCCAGTACACACTCAACATGCAACTCGTTCCAGAGTGTCCAGTGTTGGGTTACTGAAGACTGCTGCAGATGCCTCCTGGAGGTGCACTGGCTCTTATGGAGGAAGGCAGCCAGGCACATCAGTTCTGAGTGAACATGCGGTCTCTTGAAGCCAAAGTGCTTTAGGAGGCTGTTCTCACACATCCGAATGATAATGAGGGCTTAACAAACTCATCCTACACCTAAATATGTTGGTATTAAACAGAAAAGGCAGTGGCCAGCAAGTTTGAGTTCCAGAAAGGAGGCTTTGACACCTATAGGAACATGTGAAAAGCTGCTTTGATTTGGGAGGGAAGTAAATAACAATACTTTGAGCTGCAAGAGCACTATAAAAATTTATTCGTAGGTTAAAAGGTGCAGTTTCTACAGGTGAATTTTTTTTATTCAAGCTTGAGTGGCCCAGTATCAGCAGAAACTGAGCAATTTTTGCTCATAAGACATTGTAGGAACTAAGTATATCAAAGTGGCTAAGATTCTGTTCTATAAACTTGTCACATTATACATAATGTGAGGTATCAAGGAAGCAGAAAAGTTTGCTCTAATGATAAGGAACAGAAATTTTCCAGCCTCCTGCTCATCACAGATAACATCAAGAAAGATGAGTTGGATGATGGAAACTTTTTCTTTACAGTACTGGGGATTGAATCCAGGTATTGTACATGCTAGGCAAGTGCTCTACCATCGAGCTGTATCTAGCCTAAATTGGAAATTTCAGGTGACTGCTGGAGTTCAAAGTCCCACCCACACTTATGTCTAGAAATATGTGTGGGTTTAAGATTGAGGTCCAGTGAAATATGCAATATAATGTAGTAATATAATATGCTAATAGTGCTCCAGAGCCCCCAAATTTCAAGCAGTACTAGGAGACTTTTTTTTTTTTTTCCTGGCACCGGGGATCGAACTCACAAGCTAAATCCCTGGCTCTGAGACTTCTTAATACCAACTTTAAGAGTTTAGTGTTTTTTAACAACCCATTTTATCTAATTGGCACAGGTTAATTCCATGTGTTCTTCTGCCTACACAGGTAGTAAGTATAGTTATAAGATCTAGGGATTAATCACCTTCCCCCATCCCTCCAAAGATGAAGGGTAGGAAAATAATTCCACTTGAAGTATTTGGCCAGTGTTTGGTGTATAAAAGTTTTTGGTATAATTCCCTTTTCTAGAAATGCTGCTTTTATCTTTATACATCCCTCTGTAATAAGCCTCTTTCCACAAAGATTACTCTTACTCTAGCTTGAATTCATGTATGGAACAGATGATAAAATTGGAACAAAGATTTAGTCTAGGATTTATGTACAGAATAACTACTATAAAGTTGTTTCAGAAAACTAGAACAGGAGCCAACCATGCCATATGAGCAAAGAGCAAGTCACAAGGTTTACGGGCTTGGCAAATTTTTACTGTTTCCTTTAAAATCATAAAAACAGCCAGGCGTGGTGACTCATGCCTGTAATCTCAGCACTCAGGCTGAGGTTGGAGGATCGCCAAGAATTGGAGGCCAGCGTGAACTGCATACCAAGATCCTGTCTCAAAACACCAAAAAAAAAAAAAATCCTAAAAATGGCAATGTATATTGTGGCCACATATCAAAATGTGCTGTTACACTGAGGTGGAGATGGATATGTGCTCCTAGGGCTGAACACTATCAAACCTCATTTCGGTCCCAGTCAATAACTGGGAATTTCTATGGACAGTCCACCTTGGGTGATTCCTTTACGTTTACAGGATCTTTTCACTTCACTGTATCTGCACAAATTGGAATGTGTCTATCACAATTTCATAGGTGAGAAAAGTAGAGCTCTAGAGAAGTTAAGCCTGTTAATAATTGGAGATAGGAACAGACCCCAGGCCTTCTGACCTACACCGGTCTGGTTTGACATGGCACATTCCCACATTTTATACACTTAGGAAATAATTACGAGGCATAAAACCCTATATAGAATTTTAATTTTAATTGACATTTTGCTCAAATGGAGAGAACAGTGAAAATTTTATGGCTCAATTTTAGAAGCTTACAAACTAAATCCTTGGGTCAAATAGTGACAGTAGCCCTCATTAGTTACTTCACATTGAATGCAGGTTGTTAAAAAGAAAAATAATCAGTGCTGCGCTTCAGTGGAACATAAGCATTTCAATTTCATAACAAAAATCTAGCACCTTTAAAATAATCACTAACAACTTATTAAATATGAATTACCATTTCAACCAGGGAAAAAATAATCCAGTTTCACCAACAGTGCAAAGTAACAGCAGCATTTTCAAAGTTGAAATTAAATCCGTGTAAACACACCAGCCTGCACAGTGGACATGCACTTCTTAGTTGAGCACATTAAGGGCTGATAGAGGGATCCTGCTGAGTCTCTTGGATTCCCAATATGAAAGGCTAGCATGAGTTTTAAGCCAAGGGCTGCATAAACTTAAACAGTACAAAGCAGATCAATGGTTGAGCAGGATAGGACCCTTGTTCTGATGGGCTAATGAGGAACATTTTCAGGCCAACCCTGGAACTTTCTAGGCCAAGGGTGCACATGGTAATAGGCCTACCTGATGCAACCCTGATTTCAGTGGGGCCATCTGAGTACACATCCAGGTTCAGGTGAGGAATGCTGGCCTAAATTGCCCATAATAGACACTGCTTTGCAACCAGGACATTCTAGGTCAGTGATGGTGAACCTTTTAGAGCTTTCAATGATACAAACAGCCTGCTGCCCCTATGTTTGCCACCACTATTCTAGGTCAATTCAGTATAATAAAAACGTGTCCTTCGTAATGTACTATAACTGAATGGCTCTAAAGCAGGGAATGTTGGGCCAAGGCTTTAGCTCAGTGGTGCCGCAGCTGCCTTGCAAGTGCAAGGTCCTGAGTTCGATCCCCAGTACCAAAAAAAAAATTAAACAAAAAAATAAAGCAGGGAATGTCTACATGTTTAGCCTCCCTCCCTCCATTTCAAGCATTAATGATTAGTCCTTTCCAGTTTGGTTCTTACAGACACAGGATTAGAATGTTTTGTTTCTCACAAGCATTACATCTTTACATTAAACCTTAGAGTTGCAGGCCTTACTTTTTTTTTTGGTACCAGGGATCAAATTCGGGTCCTTGCACTTGCGCAGCAGGCAGTGAAACCACTGAGCTAAATGCCTGGCTCAGGCCTTACTTTTAACAAGTACAGCCTTTCAAAAAGGAACACTGATAAGCAGACTCAACAGCCAGTTATCTGCATGATCTTAGGAAAATATCATTGCTAGTAGACGTTTCTTCTAAGTCACTTCGGATTTACCAACTGTCCAGACCAAAGGACATTTCCAAGTAGGAAGGTTCTGATTCCAACTTCTCCACTGGCTCATGTGCATCACAGCTTATTCTGTTTCCAAAAACTCGTGGCACAACTTGCTTGGTGTCACCGACGCCGAATGGGCTTGTAGACACAAAATGCCATAAGGATGACAGTCACCAGTAGGATGCTGAAAATGGTTCCCATCAACACTGCAAAGGCAAAACAGGTTATGTAATGGCAGCCCCGGGTTCTATCATTTATCCATCTGCTGACAATCATTTATCAACTGCCATCTGCTGCCAGGCATGTGCCAGGTGCAGGGGAAATAGTTGTGAACAGACCTCATCTCAAGTTGTCTGCATGTTCATGGGGGAACAAAATGTAGACAAATAAGTGCCTTTCACATAGCATGATATGCTATGAAGAAAACCCAGACAGGAGTGGTGGTGCATGCCTCTAATCTCAGCTACTTGGGAGGCTGATACAGGAGGATCATAGGTTCAAGCCCAGCCTGGGCAATCTCACACATTTTTTTTGGTACCGGGGATCGAACTTGGGACCTTGTGCTTGCGAGGCAGGTGCCAAAACCACTGAGCTAAATCCCCGGCAGCCTGGGCAATCTCTTTAACACCACCCTAACTCAAACTAAAATAAAAAGGGCAGGGGATACAGCTCAGCACACCCTAGGCTTAATCCTAGTACTGGAATTTTTAAAAAGAAAAAAACAGTAATGTGACGGTGATGGGAGAAGGCTGAGCAACGGTAGTTTTGGCGGGGGGGGCTACACACAAGTTGAGCCCTTAATGAAAGAATGGAACAGGGTTGTAGTCCTGAGGACCAGAAAGGCCCTGAACAGGCTCAAAATGGTCACCGAACAGAAAGGAGGCGAGTATGGAGGGAGTGAAACAAGAGCCGGGGAGGCCACCAGACAAGAAGGCTAGAGCCGGTTTGTGCAGCGCACTGGCGACTGTGAAGGAAACATGGATTTCTCCCCCTAAATTCAAAGAGAAGCCACTGGAGGGTATGGGCACATGGAGGGTGACTTGATCTGATTATGTTGGGAAAAAAGATCCTTCTGGCTGCTGTGTGGAGAACCATCTGATTACAGGTAGGCAAGAGAAGCAGTGAGGCCAACTATGTCTATAAAGCCTCTAATAAAATATGATTTCAGTGAAGAAAATATTGCAGGCTCTAGATGAGTCTTTTTCTCTTTTTTTCTATTTCTGGTTTTGTTTTGATTTGTTGGGGGAGCGGGTACCAGGGATCGAACTCTGGACCTTGCGCTTGTGAGACAGGCAGCGGAACCACTGAGCTAAATCCCTGGCCCTCTGTTTGTTTTTTGAGACAGGGTCTTGCTATGTAGTTCAGGCTGACCTTGAACTCACTTATGTAGCCCAGGCTGGCCTCGACTCATGGAGATCCTCCTGCCTCAGCCTCCAGAGTTCTGGGATTACAGGTGTGCACCACCACACCCTGTTCACTAGATGAGTCCTGACAAAGGCCTCCAGACCAGAGAGACAACTAACTTCACAAACCTATTATGTTTGAGGGTGTAAAAACGTTCACATCTAAAATTTTCAAGGTGCTCAGGTGAGAAATGGGATCCACAACCAAGATCTACAACTTAGGACCAAGTTATTGGCGATAAGGATCTTGCTCTAAATTAACAGAACCACTCAGCAGCCAGAAAGTTTGACGGTAGCAATGATGTGCAATGTTGTTTCTATGACTCATATGAGAGATCTTAGGATGCATTCAAATCATCTCTCTTTTTTGGTGAGGGGAAGGAAGGGTAGAAAAGGTGACAAAAACAGCATGTCATAACTCCAAAAGGCCAGAAGTAATTTTAAGGTCTGGCTAAACAAAACCTATAACATACATGAGCTAAATGTCCTATCTCAAAATAGCTGTTAATAAATATCTGCCCTAATTTTCAAATGTCTTGAATATCAAGTTTCTACAGTTCTGACTATACTTGGACTTAGTTGTCTTGTTCTAGTTAAACCATTTTCTTGCATTGTGCAAGGGCTCTAAAACAAAACTCCCATGGGAGGCTGAGGCAGGAGGATCATAAATTCAAGATCAACCTCTGCAACTTAGTGAGACCTTGCCTCAAAATAAAAAAATAAAGGGCTGAGGATGTAGCTCAGTGGGAATGCCCTGGGTTCAATCCCCATTCCTGCAAAACAAAACATTCCCAGAGCAAAAGTTCTGAGGAACGGAGGGGATGGAAATTTTCTCTTTAAAAATGCTTAAAATTGTTGTTACAAATACACATCCATTTGGATCGCCATCCACTGGGGCCTTAATCATCTTTCTACCCTTCCCTGCACTTTGCAGGTAGCATTAATTGCCTGGTTGGCAGGCCCAGACAGAACTCTGAAAGACTATTTCAAAAAGTCCATCTTTATGGTCATTAAGTCTCATTTTCTGCACCCATATAATGGGACAAATGAAACCCACTTAAGAAGATTTTCTTTGAGGCCTAACTATAGTTACCTTCAACAAGCGTTCAGGCCAGGTGTGGTGGCGCATGCCTGTAATCCCAGCACTCGGGAAGCTGAGGCAGGAAAATCGAGGTGAGTTCCAGGCCAGCCTGGGCTACATAATGAGTTCAAGGCCAGCCTGAACTACATAGTGAGACTCTGTCTCAAACAAAAACAAAAACAAACAAAAAACCCCAAATGTTCAACAAAGCGGTAGGCATATAATAAACACATGAAAGTAAGTGACATTATTATAGCCAAGATAGGAAGCATGGCACATTGGCAAGAGTTAAGGGTTTAGGATCAAAGCATCTGGGTTTCCATGTACATTTGCAGGCTATGTAATCTTACACAAGTCACCCAACCTGTTTCTTTCTCTGAAAAACAAAGATAAAAATACATAGTGCATAGGACTATGGTTTTCAAACTATCAAGGCAAAGGACTAGTTTTTACAAGTTCTAGTCTGTCCCAGGCCCCACTGTGTATGCCTACTTGGCAGCTCCCTTTCTCTACAAAGCATTCCAGTTCATGGACACCTAGAACTGCTCTTTACCTGCTTGGGTATTGCAACGTCACCTTAAGTTTTGAAACACTCTTGGTTTAAGTCACCTTTTGCAGGTAATACACAGATTGCAGGCCACCCTCTGAATAGTGCTGTTCTACAGCAGTGGTCTCAAAACCATGAGAATCTGGGCCTGGAGGAAAATGGCAATGTGTGGAGTCATTTTGATTATCTCCGCTGGGGATGGGCGGTGCTACCATATATACAGGATAAGGTGAATGGTGCTGCTAAACATCTACAACGCTCAGGATACCCTCCCCTGCACCTGAGAAAGAATCATTTGATCTAACATGTCAGAATATCCAAGTTGAGAAACCCTGTTCTAAGCAGAATAATCTGTGGAAACTACTTAGGAGGGTGCTAGGTACAAAATAAGTGATCGATCATGGCAGTCATTGAGTTAAGTAAGGTACAGCCAAGTCAATCCAGAAATGTTACTATGTGGCCACTTTGTGTATCTATGGACTTACTAGTGAGGTACAGAGAATGATGACAAGACGCAGGTCATAGTGAAGTTTATCAAGCTTTTCGGGGTCCTTCTGGAGTAGTGCACGTGCATAGATACGCATATACGCATGCGTGTATGTGTCTGAGACCCTCCCAAAGTTAGGTTTCAAGCTCCACAAAACCCGTTTCTGACACTGGCACCCACTACTCCCTGTTTAACCCTGAGTAAAAAACAAAAAACCAAAAAAACCTCATCTCTCTGAGCTTCACTGTTCCGCTTTGAAAAAAAAGGGGGGGGGGCTTAAAAAATCGTGCATTTTCTCATTGTTACTGTGAACTCAAAAGAATTCACGTACACAAAATGCTTAGCGCAAGACATATGGTACATAGAAAATGCTCAACAACTGCCAATTAGGCCTTCTTACTACGAGTATTGGTCGCTTAGCAAAGAAGACGGGTCGGTGTATAGAATGCGTCTTGTTGACCACAGCGAGGAGGGAGGGAATCCAGACTGACACCGAGGTCTGCGGATTCCGGTTTATTTAGGTGCACACAGCACGTAACGGAGGAGCATACTGGTTACCAGGCCCTGCGATGAGTAGTAAGCTCGAGCCTTTGCCCCCAGGCCTCCGGAGAGGGGGGTCCCAGATCTCTTAAGAGAGGCAGTGCAGGCCAGGCTCCCACGGCCCGCAGCGGGAGATGCGCAGGCCCGATCCCGACGCCCTCCAGACCGCGACGCTCACCCAGGTTCTGCCCGCGCAGCACCGCGTACGGCCGGCTCCGCTCCGGCGGCTCCACCGGGCTTGGGGCCTCCACTAGCCCCACCAGGAGGACGCACAGATCCAGGGACAAAAACAACCACGCCAAACGCAGCATCTTTCCCCGGCAGTAATGGCCAAAAAAGCCACTTCCGCAGCAAGCTCCGCCTCTGTCTCCACCAGTTCAAGGCTTTCCTCGCCTCCACCCTTTTGGACCTGCGTCGTTGCCGTGGTAACTGTACGCCGGAACAAGTTTTTCTAGGACAAAGGTTCCGCTGCAACCAACGTTCCGGTTCCGTACAGGCAGCGTTCCACAGCATTACAGATCCGCTATGGCAACGTTTCGCCATCCTTTGGGCTGCAAGAAGGCCTCATTTAGAGGGAGTATTCTTAGGTCCATTGTGGACCTATGAACCCCACCTAGAAATCTATGCATTTTATTACTAAATCTTCACCACAGGCCTCAGAAATAGACTGTTGCCGTGACTGTGTATTCCCATTTTACAAATGCCACCGCAGGGAACCCTTACCTAAACATCTTTTCCTAAAATTGCAGCCCTCCTCCCTCAAAATACACACTTCCTCCCCTCCTTTCATTCTCATTACTTTTCTTTTTTCTTTTGGTAGCGGGGACCGAACTCCGGTCCTTGCGTTTACACAGGAGGCAGCAAAACCACTGAGCTAAATCCCCAGCCCTCTCTTTGCTCTTAAACTTAGCACCACTTACCTTTTACATTCAAAGCATATTTTATCATTTTCTAAGTATCTGCCATCCACCCTAGAATGTAACATCCACGAGGGCAGGGTTTTGTGATTGCTCATTGATTTGTCCCAGAGACAAGAGTAGCATGTTATATACAATGAATGTTTGCTGAAATAGTGAGGAAATTGAGCTTGTTTGGCGCAACGCTACACACAAAAAGAGACAGGGCTAGACTTTGACCCAGTATAATTTGTAATCCGGAGGCTGAATGGCCTCGCTTCATTGCTCAGGCTTGATCTGTAGTGACATTGGTAATATCTACTTCAAAATGGATAAGCAATGCAAAGAAGATATGGGGAGCATTTTGTTTACTCTGGAGAGTTATATCCAAACACATAAGACCCCAAAGGGGAATGTATTTATTTTTTTAAAAAACGAAACAAATAACAACAACAAAAACTAAGTGCCTACCATACCCCTGCTCTCATGTAACCTCTAGTCTAGATAGGAAGTCAAATAATTAACAAACTAACAAATGATTAGAAAGAGAATTATATAGCTCAAAATTGTGGTAGATGATATAAAGAAAAATAATTGCAGGGTATTGAGTATAGACACCAACAAGGCACATTCCCATCAGGCTGGTGGATTTCCCTTGCAGAACTCTATCCCTGGGAACTGGTAGAATGTGGGCGTGAAAAGAACTTCCTCCTGAAAAGAGGAAAGAGAATATTTCTCTTTAGACAAGATCAGGATCTTTAGGTCCTGTGGTGCATGCCTGTAATCCCAGCACTCTGGGAGGCTGAGGCAGGAGATCACAAGTTCAAGCCCAGCATGGCCAATGTAGTGGCTTAGTGAGACTCTGACTCAATATTTTAAAATAGTAATAAAGGGCTGGGGATGTGGTTCAGATGGAGGCCCTAGGTTCACTCTTCAGTAATAACAACAACAAAGTCAAGACCCTGACTCATTAAGTTCTTGTGGGAGATTTTCCTGGTGGGCCCATCACTTCATACTAATGCCCCATGTTTCTTTTCTTTTGGTAGGGGGGACTGAACTCTGGACCTTGTGCCTGCAAGGCAGGCAGCAGCACCACTGAGCTAAATCCCTGGCCCTGTTCCTTATGTGTTTAAAGGTAGAAGTAGGTAGGGCCGGGGATTTATCTCAGTGGCACCGTGCCTGCCTTGCAGGCACCAGGTCCTGAGTTCGATCTCTGCCACTGGAAGAAAAAAAAATACAAGTAGGTAGTGGAGCATAATGACAAGACAAGGATTCCAACTCTAGTCTTGCTTGGCACTGTATCACATCTCAATCTCAGTGTCTACACCTAGAATATGGGAATGTTAAGAGAATTGATCTCTGAGTTGTTAGAGAATTGAATAAGAAAATGCATGTTAGCTACATTGCACACTTTAAGTGATCTGTGTTGGCGATTAATATTATTCTGGAAAATCTACCTTAGAAGAATGTGTTTGGAATACACCTTAGAAGTCATTAGTCTAATAGTTCATGAATTATTGAGATGCCTGGATTTATCATTTTCCTTGAGCTGCCCATCACTTAACTATTTCCCATTCAAATTCCCTTCAATGAAAAAATGTACAAAAGAAAAAAAGGAAGACAAGCAATTGTTTAAAGAGAATGTATTCTATGCAATCAGCTTCCAGGCATTTTGACCTTCTTTCTGCTCCTGCTTCAGGATTTTTGCTGCTCCCTTTACCTTCAGTGGCCTTTCTTGAGAACTGTACATGGCAGGCCTCCGCAGGCCCTCAGGCTGACTGTCTGCTCTTGCTCGGAGTTCTCTGTCCTCATCCCTCAGAGCTGCCCCTACAGTCACTCATCTTCACAGTTCTGTCTCCCCTGCTATGTAGTTATCATCACTATCTGCATTTTGGTTGTTATTTTTAATTTTTTTCTGTTGTTGTTTGTTGCCTCGCCCCCACCCCTTAACTGCAAATTCCACGAGGACAGAGACAATGTCAGGTTCACTGCTCTGTCCTTGGTGCTGGAATGATGCCTAGCAGAGTAATGTCTTCAAATACTTGTTGAGTGGATATGGAGTAATAGTGTTGAGGAAGTTGTTGGTTGATATTAAGGCCTGGAAAAAAAAACCTGGAGATAACCGATCAAGGCAGAAAGATTTATTACCACAACAAGTACAGTAGTATGTGGGGGTTTTAAGTAGCAATTTTCCTGACATAGTGGACTACATAGACTTAAGCATACACTCTACCACCAAATTTTCACAATTGACCGGTTTTTTTGTTTTTGGGGGTTTTTTTTTTTTTGGTACCAGGGATCGAACTCAGGACCTTGGGCTTGTGAGGCAGGCACTGGAATCTACAATTGACCGTTTGATGTTCAATTCATTGTATCCTGTATTCTGGTGGCTTCTAAACATCATTTATCTAACTAGATTATAAACTTCTATCAGGGTTTCAGGACACCCAGGTAATTTAAATTTCCAATAATAAATAACATTCAATAAAAGTACATCTCATATATTACACTGATATCACATTTGTTGTTTATTTGAAATTCAAGTATAATTGGGAATCTGCATCTCTGTTTTTGAACTGACTTTACTAAATTACTAGACTCTTTTTTTTTTTAATTTTACCGGGGATCGAACTTGGGACCTTGCGCTTGCGAGGCAGGCGGCAGCACCACTGAGCTAAATCCCCGGTAAATTATTGGACTCTTAATGGTGTGTCAAGCCCAGCATTAAGTGCTGGGACAGTGCTGTAGACAAAGGGCAGAATAGTCTTTGTCATCATATACAAACTAAACAGATGTGAACACAAAAGAACAACCTTACTACAAGCTTCTCAGTCTTGGTAGAGGATAAGCATACAGCTAATGCAGCCCTGAGTTTCAGGGCTGGAACACTTACCATGCACAAGCCTCATCTCACTTAACCCTCACAACAGCCCTACTAGGCAGGATCTGTTATATCTGTTTTATGGAAAATGATGAAACTGATGCCCAGAGAAGTTAAATCACACAGTCAAAAAGTAGTAAAGTGAGAACTTGAGGTTCATTTACAAGCATTTTGGTACTAGATTCCATGTGCCCAACCATCTCATTCTAAATTTATTTTCAAAAAGAAAGTTAGAAGCATGTAGTAATGAAAACAATGAGGCAGCTTTCTAGACCTGAGAATGTACAGAGGAAAAACTATGGATTTAAAACACATAATCTGGGGTAGGGGGCTGCAACTGCTTGTCAATTTCTATTGCATGACAAATCTAACTCCTTCAAACCTGGAATTTGACATAGTCTTCAGTCACCAGTAAGTGAAAGTAGTACAGTTAGAAACAAAGGAGCTGAATGAGTCACTTCTTTCTCTACCTTCAACTGTAAACATCACCTTAATGGTTACCTATGCTTCTATTTTCTTAAAAGAGGTACAAAATAAAATAACAAAAGCCTAAGAGATCACCATGCCTAGACGCCAGTGAGAAATTCAGTGGGAGGCACCAAAAAGTCAGAGGTGTCTGGCCTTTAAATTCTAAAAACCTAAGTTATCACTGCCCTTTTTGCTCTTTTGTAGATGGCTAAGTTAGGTAGAAATGTTATAGGCAAACAAGGCTAGGCCCTAGAGGGAGTCAGTGCAGAGGGTGAGAACATATTACAACTGTAGACAGAGGGACACTTGGTCTTAAAAATCATTTCCAGATTTGGACTTCCTAAGAGCTTACAAAGTGATAATGGGCCTTCTTTTAAAGCAACAGTCACACAGGGTGTCTCTCAGGCACTGGGCATTCTTTATCACCTTCATTGTGCATGGAGGCCACAATCATTGGGAAAGGTATAGAAAATGAATGATACCCTAAAGAGACCCCTTTGCAAAACGGCTCAGGAAACCCACTTACAATGGCCTCACTTACTACCTTTAGCTCTTATCAAAGTTGTAAGAAATACACCTCAAATTCTAGACCTTGGTCCATTCTTGAAAAGGATGCCCTTTTCTCACTAATGATTTTCTCTTTGAGAGAGAAACAGAGGCCTTACTAAAAGATGTTACCTCACTGGCTAAATTCCAACAGACTCTTCCACAGCTAACAGCTCAGCTTAAAGAAAAGGGAAATTCCATATTCCAATCTGGAGATTTAGTACTGGTGAAGTCTTCTCTCATCATCCCCTTCCCTAGGACAAACTTGGAAAGGACCATACACAGTGATCCTGTCAACTCCATCAGCTGTCAAGGTAGCAAGCCTGGATTCCTGAATATATCACACCCAATTCAAGCCCTGGGAACCAGAGACTGTCACTGAATGTGAGCAACCATCCAAATACAGCTGTAAACTCACAGAAGACTTAAAATTCTTGTTCAAAAAGAAAACAAAGTCTCCAGATAAGTAACCTAAGATGTTACTTCTATCCTTTTTACTAATTACTTTACCACTTAAAAGAGAGTGCAATTCCTTTCTAGGGTGGCCACAGGAATATGCAGAGTTGTTACAACAAACCTCTTGCTGGATATATGGCCTGCTTCCCTTGTCAAGTACATCAGGACTTCCTTGGTAG